AAAAAAAAAAAAGAAAAAGAAAAAAAAATGAAAAAATTAAAAAATCACAAAAAAAAATGTAGAAAAAACTTACAAGTCAGAATTTGAGAAATTATCGACGAGAGAAGTTGACTTGTAAGTTTTCAACACGGGATGAGGTGAATCTTTAAAATCCTCTCTCCGTTCGTTTGTGAATCTAAGAAGAATGAGATCAGTATCAAATGTAAAAGTATTAAAAAAATATATTAAAGAAGAAAAGTTGCAAGATATTTAAGTTTTTCTTACAGTTTTGAGTTCGTGTTCGTTTCCTTCTCGATATATACATATATGGAATTCGATGTTTAATTAAAACGACCGATGAACGCAAGAGATATTGTACATTTGCTGTGATCGTGTGTCAAGTATTGTACAAAATCTTGTACAAAACGTACAAATTTCACGGGATTAATTAGAGCTATTGTTAAGGATCTTCCATCAAACGTACACTTGTTGTTGTCGAATATTCTTAAAAATTCATGTCATGATGACTGCTGATGTAATCGAAAAGATATTATTAAAAAAAAAAAGGAAGAAAAAAAGAAGAAGAAAAAAATTTAGTAATTGGAACACCATTATCGCGAAGAAAGAGGCACAGGATGCAAGTGGAATGCGAGCAACGATAGATTGTAGCGTTTAATATATACATTGATAGAACTATTATCAATATCATCAGGCCTAATATACTTAAACGTTGCGTGTATTTGTTGTTGTTGCCGATTCATATCTTATATATCCGAATATTAAAAGAATATTTCGTCTATGGATTTTAAATGTTATACGTCATTTATGAGGAAAAAAGAACAAAAAAAGAAAAAGAGTAAAGCAAAAGAAACAAGACGAAGAAAATGAAAAAAAGAGTACGAAGAGGAATACAAAGGAAGCGAAAATGGCGTTTATCGATTGGCTTAATAACAAAGGGGAAAGCATTAATTACAAAATACATCAACAGTTTTTATGTAGGATAGAAGAAAGGGATCCTCGATATCTTGCACGATTGTCTTTTAGCAAACGAGATTGATATTTCTGATTCTGAAGCAAACAGGAAGAAACGAATAATTATATTAGTTGGGGAGGGGAGGGGGGGGGGAGATCTAGTTCACAAGTCTAGTAGATCTTATACTCGATGAAACATATAAAAATGTAGATATAATGTTAGATAAATCACGGTTAGTAAATGTAGTAAATGTTATCAAATGGTTTTCACGCGATTTCAGATGAATATGTAAGTTAAAAGGAATTAAAAAAGCGCGTATTAATGGCGTCAAAAATATCGCATCTCGTTTGTTAATGCATTAAATTACATCGTGCCTCCAAGTTGCATTCATAGAATCTATCATTCTTAATTTACTCATTTGTAAGATATTTAATGTTTATTTTTTTATTTAATACATTAAGTGCCATGTCGATCACCGTAGCGTAAAGGAAAATATCGACAAAAAGTGCTAGGTGCTTAATGTGTTAATAAATCATAGTAGAATATTCTTTGAATAACATTGAACAGTATAAAAGATCAGATTAAATTAACGTAGAGAATCAAAGTGATGGGTAAAAATCTATGAATGCAGCTAAAAGAACATTCCGATAATCCACTGTGTTCTTCGAACGATAAATCTTTTTTTTTTTTTTTTTTCTTATTTTTCTTTCTCGAATTACTTCAGCCGAATATTTCTCCGAATAATTGTTATTTGTGTAAATGATAAATATATATGTACTGAAATCATAATTATCAATTATTGTATTTTAAAATGACTATTCAAAGTATTATTGTGCTAATATAAAGGCGGCTTTATTGGTCAATTATTCGGAATCGATGTCACAATTATTCCCTATTTCTTCCAAACTCAGATAGAATATTTATATCATTCTGTTTATTTTTCATGTTTTTTACATCTCATTGAATATGTGAAAAAATTGCAGACAAGGGCCATTCTGGTTAACTATTGTTATGAAACTGCATTTTCTTTTCCTTTAATGTTCACATCTAAAAAATCACAGACCTCGAAATATTTCATTAATTATTACATATATATGTAAGGAAAATACATATTTTAAATGCTCCGCGTGTATACGATATTAGTCTCGTACAATTTTGTTTTTATTTACAGCCGTATTGAGTATTTTCCTTCATTTGTCACTGGCTTTTTTAATTCATAACTACGGAAGTTTCAAAACAAAAAAATTGCGAAACATTATTATATATCGCTTCGATGTACAATTTATTAAATATTCGTTTGCAGAACATTTTCTTTTTTGTACAATAAGGTATAAATTTATTTTTCTCTTAATTATGGAGTATCTGAAAATATCTTTTTTTTCCAATTATAATTACAAAATACAAAAGTCTTAATTGTACAAACGAATATTTAAAAATACGTTCTATTTTTCTGAGTCGTGATTGTGTTAGTGAAAAAACTGTGTTTCTTATTATTACTAGATAATATACTAGATAATATTTATATACAATTCAGGAAGCACCCATTACCCGTTCATTTGTATTTTGTCTGATTTTAAGAATAGGAAGATGATGCTACATTACCAATATATACAAAATGCTAACATTAATCGTATTAAAAAGATCAATGTTCATATTTATAATTGAGTAATATGAGTAAAAAATATGGGAGATTTTATACTTATAAATATCTATATAGCATATATTCTCTTAGAACATTTATACTTAAACATAAAAGTTTAAACTCTCACACTTTGCCTGAGCTATTCTGGCAGTGCAAGGCATAGTCAATTAAGATTAAAAATATATATTTTTTCGAATTTATTATCCCATGATACGACTATATATCAGTGAAATTTTGTCGTACTTTATTAATATAAATGAATATGTTCGTGATAAAAATTCAATTTTTATATAAGTTAAGTGAAATTGTAACAGATTCGGTGTAATGAGCGCGTTTTCGATTCTTTTATACAATTATCAAATTTGCACCATATCATATTCTTTCCCTGAAATCTAACAGCACAATCGCAAAGCAGCAAAAACGTTTCATTTTTATGACAATTCATTCGACCATTATTCTGTTTCACTACCTTCTGCATATTTGTCATTTTTTACTTCTATCCTTAAGGGAGAGCGACCTCTTGTATGATTTCCGATTCGAGATCGAAGATCGCCTTTTAATGTACTTCTGAGGTCTCGCATTCTCGATTGCCTTTAAAATATTATATATTAATTTAAAATGTTATTCATATAAATAGAATATAAAAATTTTTCAATTCTTACCTATCCTTAATAGAATTATCAATAACTTCGCTTTTTACATTGTTTAATCTCGCCCACACTGTAGAAGCGACACGAGGTTTATGTTGAACTACTTTTATCACACTGCCCTTAGGTCCTTGAACTTCTTTCGCTGGTTTGTCACTATCCTCATCGCTATAGTCATCTTCGTTTTCTTCTTCTCGTTCCTCTTCATCAGATCCTTGCCACTCACCCTCTTCCTTTTCCTGGCTTTCATTATCTTCAATTATTTCACCATCTTCCTCCTGTATAACATAAATAAAACTCAAACTATTTTAAGATTTTTGTTACTAAACTTAAGTAAATAATAATATCAAATTTTTGACGATAACTACCTCTGAATCGTTAAGCTTTAATGAATTTGATTTCGTTGCATTTGTATTTGTTACAACTATTTGAATTGCGTCACGGAACTGCGTTCCTTTCCTCGATATGCCGAGTCTGGATCGTAAATCATTACCTCTAGTTAGGTTGTTTAACATCGTCTGCAAATGTATTGTAATGACTAAATAAATTCTATCATTGTAGAGATTTCAGTTAGCAGAAATTACTGACTTGTCGAAGTTTCGCACGTCGTTTGTGTATTTTTTCTTCTTCGTCGTCTGCATGCATTCGCATCCGTAAAACTTTACTTCTTTTACACCATTCGTCTTCGCTATCACTGCTCGAACTACTTTGTTGTTCTTCAGTGTATGTAATTTCCTTTGGAGGATATTTTATCCCTAATCTTTCCTTCACACTACGCCCGTGATCTCTAGGTTCATTTCTGGTGCCAAACTCACTTTCTATAGCATCATTGAGTCCCCAACTTTCTGACAATGCACCCCAAGGGTTCTTTGCGTGTTTTCTATCTTTAACATCATCTTGCGGTTCTTCTTTGAATTTTCTTTTATTTTGTCTAATTTGTTTATACATTCGTTTTCGAGACTCGGTTAAAATTCCTTTAATACCTATAAAAAAAATTTAGTATTAGTTATTCAGTATTTGGATAAAACATTTTTATAGTGTTTGTTAGTGTTTTATAGTGTTTGTTTATAGCAGATATTTGTAATAATACCTCCGAAATTAGGATTTCCATACTTTTTATAATATTCACTCATTTTCTCTGCATTAGGCTGTTTTTTATCAGCTCTAGTAGCAAATCTAAGAAATATTGCTTTAGATTTAGGATAATTTATCCCCTTCCTCCACAAACCAGGAGGTAATGGGCAATTAATATCTTTGATACTTATATAATCTTTATCTGTTTCCTTTGTGATTTCATTATCTTCATCCATTTCAATAGTACAGTCATCATTAGTTACATTGTTCTCTTCATCAGGATTATCATCAAGTGATTTTGTAGTTCTCTGCTTTTCTAAACCCACAATTTTTTTCGATAATCCCAACATAGCTCTAGCTGCTGACACATTGTCTAACCAGACAACATTACCTATATTGTAAATAAAGAATGAGAGATCATAAATAACTTAATTTTTTTTTTAAATTCGTATAATTCACGAATTAAAATTATTCCTACATGAAATATCATTGATCCATTCAATGGATGCTGGGGCATAATCTTCAAAATATTTGAAAACATCTTTGGTACTCATCTCTTCTGTTCCTCTCATATGTATTACATTTAATCTGATATTTTTTGTATTTTCACTATCTTCCACAATGCCCATACTAAAAATTAGAATAATTTATGTTATATATATCTGGGTTATTGAATCATTTTACATTGCTTGCCAAGCTAATATTTATACCTAGAATATAAATCTTGCTCTTGATTTGATAAATTATTTTTTAATTTTTCTGTTAGTCCAAAGCGTTTGGCTCTCTCTTCCATTTTCAATTTTTCTTCTTTACTGAATATATCTATACCAGTCATAAAAGTACCGCCACGATTTTCATAACGACTATCTAACTGTATCTGATTGAATAAAATATGATATATTAATTTCCAATTTCATGATTTATCATATGCATAATATTTTTGTAGCTTAATATTATAAAATAATTCTTAATTAAAGCAAGAAAACAACGAATTAAGTACATATATAAATATACATGTTATACATGTCCATGCTTTATTTATGAAAATTGAAATCACAATAACAACGAAAAAATTTATAAAACTTGCACATTGATCACGTAAATTGATCATTTTTAATGTTTCTTTACCTCTGCTTGCATATTGTTTGAATTAAATGTTTTTACATCGGTCTGCTCAGAATCAACATCCTTTACATCATCAATAACTGGAACCATTTCCACCTCCATAGGCTCACCTAGCTCATCCATTTTAAATACTGATCCAATATCTTTTTATAAAATTACAAAAAATCCAAAACATTCATGAAATATGGATTATTAAGATATCTATTTATGACATACAACACCAAGAAGAAATAGCACGATAGGTTATGATACACAGCTCTGACTACATAAATATTGAGGTTACATATCTTATAGTTTTCAACGACACAGGTGCCACCACTTATTCTAGCGGGAAAATCAAATTATCAACATTAGAATCTTCTAAGGTACTAATAATGCTTACTAAAATATAATTAATCCTTTTTTTTTATCGCGAATTCAATAAAACGAAGAAGTAAGAATTACTGAATTTGTAATCTAGTTTTTTATTTTATCAAATCCATATCTATATCTCTACAAACAGTACTAATGTTATAATTTTATTCTTGTGCTTGCATATTGTATCGCTAATTTATTGTCATGAAAGATGTTCGCAGAAAAAATAACAACATACACTATTTAATAGGATATTATTTAATAATTAGAAATTGCGCGTCAATATCGGAGAATATCTGATAATACACACAGTGTTAAATTTAAATTTAGACGAGATCTCCAACTACAAATATAATCACGAATATCGATCAATGATCCATTTAACTTCACCAGTATTTTTTCTCCTAAATTCCGGGCTGGCCTATAGGCAATATTATTTTTATCAATGCGATAAAAATATATATATTTATTCGCGCGAGATTCCTTGGCAAGTAATTAAGATGTGTGTTTCTAAATAATTTAATTTTACATTCTACGCACGCAGTAATCTACGACATAACATATGATAAATTAAAATGAATTAAGATCAATACAAGTGTTAAATTGATTTAAACAAAAATTATATTATTTGACAATTCTTCAATTTTCAGTCAAAACGCTATTTTAACGTTTTATTCAATCTTTTCTTCGATACTTCGATACTTATGTTTTAATTATCACCAATTATTTGAGTTTGTAAATTTCCAATGAAATTTCATTGATGGTCTCATTGATTGTCAAAAATGAAAAGACTCCGAGACTAGCTAATACTCGGTTTCTAAGCAGTTATATACTAGTGATAAATTAAGAAGCGATCGCGTCTATTGACACAGTTTGTTGCTAACATCGGTTTAACGTGGACGTATGATTGCGTCGCGTGAAGAAAAACTTTTACTCTTCTTCCGCGATTCCAGGAGAATCGTTGTGGATTATTGACATCAGTGATTTTTATTATAGTTTTATTGTAGAGGAAATTAACTTTCTTCTGTGTCCGTGAACAGAGTGATTTCATTATGCCTGAAAACGGAATGCAGATGACCGAGGTGGTAAGTGATTAGAAAAACGGCGTCTGATGATTATTCTTTGCTTTTTTTTTTTATAACTGATTGTTTGAAACTTTTATAGTAGAAACATTTCTATTGATTTGAGCATCAACTGTATAAAACAAATTTTATGTGATATGTGTATTAGTTTCTGGAATATCCAATTAGACAATTCTTCGTTTAATGAAATTTAATGATGAATTAAAAGCTTCGCATTGTGTGTGCAATATAACTCTTCATTTTTAATATTTTGTATTCCAATTTAGAATTGATATTAAATATTTTTGCGTATAAAAGCTAAAAATAAAACATAATATATTAATTAATTTAAATTATACTAACGTTATGATAGTTGCTTTCATAAAGACATTTCCAAAAATTTAAAAAAATTTTCAATCTGAGAAAGTACACCGTATGATTTTTATTCTCCGGAGAATGCTTATGTGATCAGACGAATAACGTCAATGCTCCTCATTGTCAGACTATTACTCTGAACAAATTAACACTATCGTATTGTGTAATACAATTTAAAATTATACGATATTATTATACCATCATTGTTACATCTAATGGTGATAATTAAAATACCTCTAGATATATTAGTAGATTATAAAAATTTTCTGTATAAATGTATTTCTCTTCTGTATAGATGACTGCGAGACGCTGCGTATAATATTAAAACGTAAACTTGATAGTGAACTTTAGTTGGTTGCGTTACTGAAAAAGGACAGTATTGATATATATATTTAGATTCTAATCGAGCCTTAAGCCATTGGTTACGTCTTGGATCTAATAAAGCGTGATTACACATTCAAGATTGCGAGATACATTCCATTTTACCGGTGAAAAATGTAGATCTCCCACTTGTTCTGAGATATTAAAATCTGGAATTTTAAATTGCGTTATATCACATTTTCTGGAAAATAATAATTGAAGTGATTAATTATTGATAATCAGCGGCAAAGTAATTTAAAAATTTAAATACCGATACAACATTCAAAGGGCAAAATAAAAAATTAATTTCAAAAATATTTAAAATATTTATATGAAAAAATTCTTTTTCTTTAATTTAATTATCTTCCTACTGTTAATTAATCCTCTTAATGAGCACGATGATACAATTATTCCTGTCCAGTTGGTTTTCCAACATAATTAGGGTTTCCAAATATACTACGTACTTAATGAGACCATACCGGTCGTACGTTCTAAATTTTAGTTATTTTCTACAAAAAAATAGAAATTATGACTTCGTTAAAAATTCCTCGTTAGAAAGGAAAAAAAGAAAAGATAAATCATAGTATCGTAAAATCTAAAAGAAATTTAAGTGTAATCTATCAGAATTAATATTCTATGCGATTTCAAATATTTTATAAAATGAAGTAATTGTCATTATGTTTATTTTTATTATTTCAGAATATAGAAAATTTCACATCGTCGGATACTAAAAGTCGACCAGAGAACGAAAGAAATACGAATCTCACTTATGGCATCGATGACATCCCGCCATGGTATCTTTGCTTATTTATGGCTTTACAGGTACTTTTATAAATTAAACATGAAATATTTCTTACAGGAAAAGAACTATTTATGTTCAATATCAAAGAAATTTGCAATTAATTTAATCTCTGTTTATTTGGTTTACAACATAAATGAAAAAAAACTTTTTTTTTCTTTCAAAAAAGTTCCACGAAACACAAATCCCTTTTCTGAGTTATAGAAAACTATAGGTATAAATAAATTAAATGTATTCGTATTTTACGCAAATATTTGAGATAAGTAAAAAACAAAATTTATCTTAGTGTGATAGGATATCTCTTCATCATTTAAAGTTGGTTTAAATTTATGTTATTAAAGATATTTCAGAATCATTAAATCTCCTGTTTCTTATCATTAATATTATCTATAAAATGGAATAATATGTTTTTCAGCACTATTTGACCATGATAGGCGCAATAGTCTCGATTCCCTTTATCCTTACTCCTGCATTATGCATGGCAGAAGACGATCCATCGAGAAGTCACATAATCTCCACTATGATCTTTGTCACAGGACTCGTTACCTTTATTCAAACTACCGTAGGGTGCAGGTAATTTAGCTCCGTATCAATCTGAAAAATACAAATTTTTAAATAAATTATATAATATAAAATTATATTTAATTTTATTTATATTTGATTTAAATTTATTTCAAAGTTTAATTTCTATCAATTTATATTAATTTCTATCAATTTATTTGATTTAAAATTTATTCCAAAAACCTTTTATATAGCTTCTTCAGTTTACAAGAGTATTTGAATCATACTGTATAAATTACCGCGAATCGTTTTAGAGCATTAAATTGATAAGTGACGCTTAATAAGTGCTAGAGCAGACACGAGGCTGCCTCTGTAACTATGAAAGAATTATATGAATGTTGAGCAATTCGTTACGAATATAAACTTTATAAATTGTGTCTATTACATAGCGCCATTACTATTAATTTTTTTTTTAAATTTAAATTACAAAATTCCATTAACTCTTGCAACTATTACAAACGATAAGAAGTTAGTAATTATAAATTAGAGTTCGTACAATGAAATATTTATTAATAGGTTTTTCACTGCAAATTAAAAATTACTATTTTCGAAGAGGATTTTTCTAAGTCAGATTTCATTATTTATGAAATGCTTATTTTTTTTGGATACTTATCTTTTACTAAATAAAATAGTTAAAATCGCCTTCTTTTTTTATTTTATGATTCTTTCATTTTATAATGATCTTGTCATATCAATATCTCAATATTATAATTATCACGTAATAATGAAGAATCATGTAACTGGAATATTTACAAGAGAAACGCCATCGAAATGAATGTTGCGAATGTAATTTATAAATGCACATGAATTTGAGGATCAAGGCTGAATAGTGAATTATCTTTTTTCAATCGACATTTATGCGTGTTTCATGCCTTGATAATTCGTGTCTGTATCTTGTTCTAATGCTAATCTTCTTGACTTTATCACTGTTGGACTATTTTGTACTCTTGTTTAACAAGATTTACGAGTTGTTAGTGATATCCAACAACTTCTGAGAAGAAGTTTATCAACTTAAAATTATTACGAAATTCCATAATTGTGGAAAATCATTATTTTAGAAACGTATCTTTATAATCGTAGATTACATCACTTCTTCAATTTGACTTTTAAATTGTGTCGATATATATTCCTTAGATGTTATGTTTTGTATGTTATATTTCAATACGTGATATTTAAATAATTCTAATAGCCTTAATGTAAAAATTCGACAATATAAATATGATGTCTTCATCGCTAAAACTGGGCTTTTTAAACTTTGTAATTTTATAGATTCAGTTTCATATTATTTTAACTAAATATTATTCTTACCGATTTAAATATATCACAATTAATCGACTAATTACTCAATTTAATTGCTGATGGAACTGATTCTTAATTCTGTTTCCAATATTCATGTATTGTCGTAGATTACCTTTAGTTCAAGGAGGAACCATCTCCTTTTTAGTCCCAACTTTAGCCATACTAAGTTTGCCACAATGGAAATGTCCACCGCCAGAGATTCTGAACCAAATGTCTTCTGAAAATCGCACTGAATTGTGGCAAGTTAGGATGAGGGAACTTTCAGGAGCCATTGCTGTATCCTCTCTATTTCAAGTGGTCGTTGGATTTGGAGGTATCGTAATTATATTTAAGGTATTCTTTAAATATTAAATTTTTGCTTATTTAACAGGTATTATCGGATATTTATTGAAATTTATTACGCCACTGACTATTGTGCCAACTGTATCTCTTGTTGGAATATCTCTCTTTGAGAATGCAGCTGATGCTGCGTCTCAACATTGGGGCATAGCAGCTGGGTAAGTTTACCTTCTTTATCTTTATAAAATAATGCAGCATGTAATAGCTTGTTTTACTTCAATAATGTTGTTCAAATAATTTAATTAATGAACTAATCAAAATTAGTGTTTTCGACGAGGAAAGTACATAATTTCTTATTTATTGATCTTGCAGAACAATATTGATGTTAACATTGTATTCACAAATACTTGTTAATGTACCATTTCCAATATTGGTATACCGTAAGGGTCAAGGAATAGGAGTCCGCTGGTTCGAACTGTTTAAACTATTCCCAGTAATTATTTCATATATTTATATTTCGTATCTCTCATATTCCAGCTTTTTCCATTTAAGTTTCTATCATTTTTATCTCTATTTTTTTTTTATGTTAGGTACTGTTAACAATAATAGTTATGTGGATAATTTGCATGATTTTAACCGTGACCGATGCTTTACCAATCGGTCATCCAGCCAGAGCAGATAGTAAATTAAAGATTATCAATGATTCTCCGTGGTTCCGAATCCCATATCCTGGTCAATGGGGTACACCGACTGTAACCCTGTCTGGTGTGCTTGGTATGTTAGCTGGTGTATTAGCGTGTACAGTGGAATCTATCAGTTATTATCCAACAACATCCAAGATGTGTGGTAAGATCTACAGATACATTGTTCAAATTAATAAAAATATTTCACTAATTATTTATAAATGTTTCCAAAAAATATCCCATTTAAAATCAAAACATTTATATTTTTTATATATATTTAATTTACGTAATATATTATAGCTTTCGAGGTATTTTAAAATCAATAAAGTTTTTAAAACAGGTTCTATTCCAAGCCAATTTCAGAGTAGTTGAAAATATAAATGTTTAAAAACTTGAAGATTAAAAAGATCAAAGAACTTGAAGATTAACAAAATTTTAAATTAAAAAATTAAGATACTCGACAATTCAAATTTTCTAGCTAAAATTTTTTGATATTTGTTTTTTAGGCGCTCCACCTCCTCCAGTTCATGCGATTAATCGAGGTATCGGTATGGAAGGACTTGGGACAATGTTAGCTGGTCTCTGGGGCAGCGGGAACGGTACAAACACATTTGGAGAAAATGTTGGAACTATTGGTAAATCGTTTAATATCGC